CGTGGAGGACAGGGTGGGGAGGCAGTTATTGCTTGGAGGGAGAGTCCCCCTCCCTACAGGAAGCCACAACCACGTTCACGGGAGGGAAAATGGCTGTGGATCCTGTTTGTCACCCGATCTGGCGTTCGCGAACGGAAGCAAAATTTTGCGAACGGTGCTGTTCGAATGGATCGTGAACAGAAGGGTTCGTGACCTGAGGTACCACTGTATTAGACAAGTTAATTTGATTACTCCATTCATTCATGTTCTGGGTTTGCATACTAGATTAAATCATAAATTAACAAAATGGGCTGGGTTTGCACAACATAGTAGGCCATAGGCAAACCAAGCCTGAGTTTAAAACTCACCAAAGCTTAATGTTGTGTCAGTGCTAAAAGCTAGGTTTGTACCAGATCTGGTTGAACCTGTTATGATGCAAGAAATACTCTCTTGGGGTATTTTCGCTAGCATATGTTTTCATTAGGGTTGTCTCTCACACAGCGTTGCTTGTTTGAAGGTTGAATTCTTTTAAATCAGGGATTCTTAAACTGGAGAAATGATGTGGCAGACAAGGTTTCATAACTTGCTCAAATATGCTGACAGTGTCAGTAGAAGTGATTGTGAGTGGTAAATTATCCCAAGGCAAATATCTTTTAATATCAGCAAGGTAGCCCAGACATTCTGGGCTTACACTGGATTGTCTGCCTTTTCTTTATCTTTTTAAGAGCATACCTAGTCATTTTCAGTTTTCTGTCTGGAGCTAGACAAATGATTTCTACTCTGTCGGAACTGGTAACTCAGACTGTGGAAAATTGATGTGTAATTACTGTTTTAAACTGTTTTTCTTAAGTTCCTACCCTTGAAAAGACTCCATTTCTGTTGTTGTTCTTATGGCAAAAACAAAAGACTTGAGCCTCTAAAATCCCTCTTCTGTCTTTTTTAAAAAATCCAATTATTAAAGTGTGTGTGGGTTTTGAAAAAAAGCATACATGCAACTGGAAGTAAAACCAAGGGGATAGTTCAATTTTTGTATATTCCATAGAAGACAGTAGATTGGATCTGATGATAATCATGATTTAGTTTCTCTGAAGTCATGTTTACTGCAGGGAGAAACAGCTTTTTGAAGAAAAACATCTACCAGATTTGAAATCAAAGAAATTGGATGGGTAATTCCTCCAAATATTTCTAGCAGAATGAGAAAGTCTCCAACCATTTCTCAAAGACAGAAGTTTCATTTCTTGGCGACAGGATGGCCACTATTGAAATGGGAGGAATTTCCCCTTGGCATTGAATAAATAGAAGAGAACCCACGGGGGTTGCAGACCTCTGAGAGATGAAAAGTAGAACATTCACACATATTTCTTGACAACAGGATCCTATGATTTTACTTACTTATGACTCACATATCCCACTGATTATCTGGCCCTCTGATAAATGATTTTGTTTTGCATTCCAGCAAATATAAGTTATGGTTGTTATAAGGTTATAAGGACTTCTACTCTTGAATTTCTGCATTTTGTTTTGTAGTGACCTTGGACAAATGGCAGCGTTTGGACCGGAGCTCCATTCTCCTTGATCCTTCCATTTCTAAATTTGATGTCATCCATGTCAGCAGAGACCCTTCCAGTGAGTTTGCTACCATCCGAGATTTTTGTCTCTCAGGTAAGATGGTTAGAGCTAAGAATATCAGAAATGCATCAAACTCTTCCCCCCTCTTCCCACTTTGTGTATGAATAAAAGGGGTATTTAACCAAGGTGCCTATTTTTCAGACCTTTTATATATTGTTTAGAGTGAGACTTCTCCATTTTTTATTTTTTATTTTTTGGGGGGGGGGGTCAAGTCAATATTGACTCCTGGCAACTGCCTGGACAAATCCCTGTACTTTTCTTGGCAAGATTTCAGAAATGGTTTGCCATTGTCTGCTTCCTAGGGTTGAGAGAAAGGGACTGGCCCAAGGTCACCCAGTTGGCTTCATGCCTAAGGCAGAACTAGAACTCATGGTCTCCTGGTTTCTAGCCTGGTGCCTTTAACCACTACACCAAACTGACTCTCAGACTTCTCAGTTGTGTTAATTATGTTGTTAATTGCCTAACTGGAATTAATGTGTCTTTTTTTAAAAAAAAATGAAATAACAGTTACAAGTTGGTTCTAATTAGGACAGATGGAAAGGGAATTATTGAACTCCTTTTAATTATTATCTCTAAGGCTTCTTTTGATCTCAGGAGAAAAGGTTCATTTTCAGTTTTCTTCTAGGATTCTAATAGTTTAGAGGAGGCATTACTACTGCATAAAAATGGGAGACCCTCTAAGTAAGCCCTTTTAAACTGGAGGCTGGATGATGACTTATCAAGAAGCCCACAGCTTAGATTTCATATTAGATGCCCTTTGAGGATCATCCCAACTTTAAAGGGAAAGAGGCAAAAAAGCAATTTATTTAGCTGTGAATGGAAGCCCTGATTAATTTTGAAATTTTCTGTGCAGGAGTGAAATAGATTCTTTGTATCTGACGCAAATTGCTGTCTTCAGGATGGTATCTGTATGGCCAAGACCAGACAGTTAGAACTTCACTTCTAGACCCAGTTTCTTATGGCTGTTCTTTCAAAGGCATTATTTATGTCTTCAGCTTATCTTAGACATTAACAACACAAAAGCAGACTCACGGCCTGATCCTTTTTTCTGCCTTTTGGAGGGCAAGACATGTAACGTCGATAGAGCAGATGATTTGAAGTTAGTCTGGAAATGCCTTACAGTTTACCTGGCTGTGGCTGAAAAGTGAGAAAATTGCTTTGGCTAGTTTGCAGTAGAATTTGAATATGGGGTCACACAGAGTGGCTAATGCTTGTGATGTCACAAAGGAATAATCCACAGTCACCAGCAAAGTTCTGTAAATTTTCTTTATCCAAAAAAGTAACATTAAAAAGTAAGCGTACACGTGGCTACTTTTCCTCCTCCTCCTCCTCCTCCTCCTCCTCCTCCTCC